GGCCGGGGATAGTCTGTCGACCCCAAGAAGTTACAGGTGAGAGGTTAGGGGTGAGAGGTTAGGGGTGAGGGTTGAAAGGGGGAGTCACCTGCCCCAGCTTATTCCCTGGGGTCTAGGTAACAGCTGTCACCCTGCCAGGGGGTGGCTTCTCAAAGGCAGCTGGTCTCTTTCCAAGCTCCCTTCTTGGCCTTGTCATTCTCAGGTCACCTCTGGAAAGGGGGAGTGCTCTTCACCAGGGGCTAAATATTCCTCAGACTCAACCCAGGCAGACCTGGAATTCCAGTTCCAGAGGCTACTTGCTCCCAGGCGTCCCCAGCTGAGAGCAAAGACCCCTCAGGAGTGTCTCTGACCCCAAGAACTAGCTGAGGCCCTGTGGCCGGATGAGTCAAACAGTGTGACCCAGCCATGGCACTGACTGGCTGCAGCCCCATCCAGCCGTGGGTGGGAGATGCTGCGACTTCTGCCAAGGACTCCAGCGATGTTGGGGGCTCTGCCCTCCAAACCCCAGGACAGTGACTCTAAAGCCCGCCTGCTTCCTGTGGCACTAGGTTGCCCGATGACAGCTTCGAGGGGTCTGGGTTGCTGGTGCTGTTTCTCAGATGGGGAAAACTGAGGGTCCGTGTGTCTCTGAGCTGGGGCTCCCACAGTGAGGACAGAACTCACGGTTCCCCCTTCTCGGGGCTGCTGCACCCTCACAGGCCCCGCCTCAGGGACAACTGTCTCCCAGCCATCTCACCCCGGGTTTCCAGTCTCCATGAGATTTCCGACTAGCTCTTTCGGCCTCTGGCCTAGGAAGGAGCGGGCCGGGGAGGGAAAGCCCTGTGTGATTCACCCGCGTCTCGCCGTGACTCTTGCACTTCCCTCCTCCGGGCAGGCCGGGCGGCTCTCCGCTTGTCCAGGCCTGTCCTGTTCGGGAGCCCCTCCGCGGTCCTGGGCGCGCTCCCCGGAGGTCAGAGCTGTGCATGCGGAGGCCTCGGGCCAGCAGGAAGCCAGAGGCAGGAAGCAGGGTGGGTCAGGAGTTAGCTCTCCAGATGGCATCGCGTCTCCCCACTCCGCGGCCCAGAGCCAGGACGCCCAGGGCCAGGCTTGCAGACCGGGCAAGGAGAGGCTACACCCTGGCCACTCTCCTGCCACCCAGGCCCAGGAAGAGGCAGGCACCTGTCATGATCACACAGCCCACCTCCCATAGCAGGTCCAGGCAGCTGGGACTGGCCGCAGAGCTGGATCCTCCTCCACCCCGGCCTGCCAAGCACCTGCGGAGCATGTGGTTGGCCCTCTGGGGTGGGTGCCAGGAGAGGAGCCCTGTCAGGGGACAGCATGGCAGGGCCTGGCCCCAGCTCTGGGCAGAGGGGCCCATCACAGGTGCTCAGGGAGGTCAGAGGGGCTGGTCAGAGTCAGCTGTAGCCAGGGACAATGAGGAGAGGATAGGCGGAGGGGAGAATTTGGGTGGGCAGAACCTTCTGGAAGCTTTCTTCTGGAATCACTAGAAACAGGGGCTCTCATTTTGGCCCCACCTCTTACCAGTCTTGGGTGAGTCACTTAACCTGTGCGCCTCAGTTTCCTCATCTGGAACATGGGCTAAGGATCGAATGTGGGAGCGCATGTTCCAGGACATAGCCTGACCTCCTGTGTGGGAGAAACGTTATCTACTGTCGCTATTGTCGTTTTGTACCCTTCCCCCGACGCCAGGGATCAGCCGTGCTCGGGCCTGGGGGCCTGAGGCCAGCTCTGGGGACAGTTAAGCTCTCTAGCTCCTGGGGACCAGTGGGCTCAGTGCCTGACCCCAGCACTGCCGGCCCTGGCAGCTGCTCAGATGTGGCGAGCCCCAGACGGACGTGGCCGCCTTTGAGGCTGAGCCGGGGCTACACTGGACTCATGGGAGCTGCCAGGGCCAGGTGAGGGCTCTGTTTGGCACATCTATGGGGGAGTCCTTGGGCTGGATGGGCCGGGCCCAGGGGTCCTCCTTTACCCTGGCACATCGGACAGGCAGATGCAGAAATCCTCTCCACAAGCAGACTGTGGGTGTCACGTCCTCCCCACTGTTGATAGGAGAGGATTGAGCTTCCTAGAGGAGGGTGTCCCCCGCCTTCCAAATCACATAGCTTGTGGTGGCTGGCCACATTGCAGCCCCAGTGTCCCCAGCTGCCATGGGGTGGTCTCCATGGCCCAAGGCCAAGTCTTCCCAACTGGTTGCAGGCCTCAGCTTACTGTGTGTCCTTGGCCTGGTGCCCCTTCCTGGGCCTTGGTCCCTTGGCTCTAGAGAAAACAGTTGGCCAGGGCTCTCGGAGATCCTCCAGGCTTAGGCGGTCTCTGGATCCGGGGCTTTGGCCCAAGGATCCCACAAACCCTCCCACTCCGAATGCCCCAAGGCAGGTGCCTGGCAGGGAGGCCAGGCACTGTCCTTTGCCACCTTCCACACTGTTGCCTGGGCCTGGCGCGCGGCCTGGGAGGAGCATATTTAAGGGCCAGCCCCGGGCCGCCCCCAGCCCTGCTGCAGCGCGAGGGAGCTCTCCAGACCATGGTAGGCTGGGGCTGCCCTGCCTCCTGCCGCCGCCTCCCCTGCACCTGCACCTGCTCCCAGGGAGCTTGGCCGCAGCTGTGGCTGCTGTCCCCTCTTGCTTGCCCCTGGCATTACCCTCCTGCCCTCATTCTTCAACTCTGACCTCATCCCATGACCTTGACTTCGTTTGCAATCCTGACCTTCACCTCAGGGCCCAGCTCACCCTGACCTTGACCTTGCTCTGGTGTTGTCCCTGGTCTGACCCACTCTTCACCCTGGGTGCTGTGTCTGGCCCTGGCCCGCCCTGGGCTGCCCTCGATGGGCGGCTGGTCCATCCATGGGGCCCTGAATTGAGTCCCTGCTTTCCTGACTTGGCGGGGGCTGCCGAGCTGAAGGGGATGGGGAATGAGGAAGAGGATGGTGGGCCTCTTCCCATGAGGGAGACAGGGTGGGCCGGGCCCCAGGGCTCTGCTCCTGCTGAGAGGACATGGGGATGGGGGACAGTGCGGCTCCCCTGGAGTGTGGTGCTGTGCTCTTGTGCTCGGTCTTGCAGCTCCTTCCTGCTTGTGTCTCCCGCCTCATTAGTCTCTCTTGGCCTGGGAACTCTGACCGATGTCACAGCTCAGCTTGCCACTCCCCACCGCCTGAGGGCCTAGGGCCTTCCTGTGTCCTGAGGGCCTGTCCCTCCCTGTCACCCTCATGATTGCTCATCTCCAGCAGCTCTGTGAGGTCCTTGGGGACAGGACGGGGCCTGATTCAGCCCTGGGTCCCCAGACTGGGCACAGGCCTGGCTGGAGGTCAGCAGGTGTCTAACACATGTGCCGATGCCTTGAGGTAGGTGTTGTGTTGGTTTGATAAATGGGGACACCGAGGCTCAGAGAAGGCAGGTGACGTTTTTAACATCACAGAGGCTACGAACAGAAAAGCAGGATTGAAACCCAGGTCCAGCCGGCCCCCCTTCTCCCCTGAGATGTTCCTTTTGGGGAAATTTTATTTTTGGGGACCCATTCTCGAAGGGGATTTCCAAGACAGCTGGGCTGCAAAGGGCCCCCCTGGCCTCGGAACCCCCTGGGCAGTCAGAGAAAAGCCTCCCCTCCTCCTGGCCCAGCACTGGGACACACTAGGGCCACAGGCAACCAGGTGGTCACGAGCGTCTGGGAGGGCAGGGATGGGGCCCCCAAGGCGGGGCCAGGTCCCCGAGAGCCAGGGCAGAATCCCCCACAGGCGGAAGTGATCATTTTTTATTAATCAGAGGGAAATGTATATGTAATTATGTGAGATGAACTCTGCAGGGAAGTTCTTTTCTTTATGATGTCTGAAGGGATTTATAAATATTACAGAGGTTTTACAGCATCATAACGTCCCGGCCGCCCTGCCAGCCCCTTTCAAAGGATTAGTGGAGACAAAGCACCCAGTAAAAGCTAATTATAAGTCAGCCGGGTGCTGCTCCTGATGTGGGGCCAGGAGCCGAGGGGAGGGGGCGAGTGCCGGTGGGGCTGGGAGTGAGCTGGGGGCGGGGGGACCACACAGGCTCTGGGGGCCGGTGGGGGGCAGGGGAGTTGGGGAGCCCATGCTCTGGGGGTGCTAATGATGGCTGCAGAGGATGAGGTCCCTTGAGGGGTCTTGGGGACCTAGAGCTTTTAGTGAGTGCCTTATGGGGGACACTCTGGCACCATGACACCCCAGAGGCATGAAGTCCAGCCAGGGACCCCTGTGTCCTCCACGTGGGTGGTCACCAGCTCTGCCTGCTGCTGTAGGCCTGAGCTCTGGGCGACTACGTCCAAACACCAGCTGATCCCCGCTCTGAGCCAGGCCCCGGGGCAGGGGCAGGAGAGGCCAGCGATGGGACAGACAGGGCTCGCCCTTGAGGGGTTCACTTAGTTGGGGAGACAGACACACAGAGCTTGGCAGGACAGTGTAGTACGCGCTGTGGGGGTAACAGTCCATGGTGGAGACCTGTGGGGAGGGGAGAAAGGCCTGGGATCAGGGAAGGCTTCTCGGAGGAGGTGACCAGGAGCTGAGCCTGAAGGGTGGGTAGGATCCTTCCAGATGGGAGGCAGGAAGGCCTTTCAGGCAGTGGGAATGGCAGGGCCAAGTTGGGAAAGAAGGCGGGTTTGGGGGGAGTAGGGGGCCTGGGGATGAGGAAGTAGAAGCTCTGGGAGGGGCAAAGGCCAGACATTCTCCCAAGAACACGAGGGAAGGTTCTAGCAGCTGACAGCAAGGTCGGATTCCAGCTGTAGTGGAGGGTGGCGGGGCAGGGGATGGGGACCCCGTGCAGAGGCTGAAGATAGAAGAGGTGCCCCTTCCGCTTCACGGTGTGGGCGGCGACCACCTTCCGGAGCCCGGGGGCTGGGCAGGAAGCAGCTGTCTGGCCCTGTGGGGTGGCCGTGGGCTGGGAAGACATCCTGATTATCTGCACGGCTTCCCTGGGAGCCTGGTCTGACTGCCGTGAGCTCCAGAGGGCGAGTCGGTGTCGCTCAGGACTGTGCCGCTCTGGGAGATGGGGGGCGCTGACACCCGAGGAAGGGGCTGCTGCAAGCCCTCACCTGGCACCTCGCAGGCACCGAGAAGAGCCCGCAAAAGAGTGGACGGCGGAGCCAGCTCCAACGTCTTCTCCATGTTCGATCAGTCCCAGATCCAAGAGTTTAAAGAGGTTGGTCAGTCGCTTAGGGAGCTGGGCACAGGGTCAGCCCTCAGTCCCCGGGACTGAAAAGCAGTTGTCATTACTTTTTGAGGCCACCCTGGCTTGCTCAGAGCCTGGACGTGTGACCTCTCTCCGTATCTTAGCCTGTGCTTGCTGTGCGACACCGGGCAAGGCCTTTCTCTCTCTGAGCCTCAGTTTCCCTCTCTGAGCCGGGCAGCAGTTGGCCGGAGGACAGCCCTTGGGGGAGGGCATGGGGGTCGGGGGGCACTGGGCTGGCAGCCGCTTAGTGCTGTGTCTCTGCCAGGCCTTCACCATCATGGACCAGAACCGGGACGGCTTCATCGACAAGGAGGACCTGAGGGACACCTTCGCCGCGCTGGGTGGGTGGCCAGCAGCGGGGAAGGGTGGGGCTGGGGGTGGAGCTGGGCCTGGGCAGCGGGGGCAGCAGGGCAGTGGGCGCAGAAGTGTGAGGGGCACCTGTGCTGAGGGTGCAGGGGAGAGGTGGCCGCTGCCAGGGAAGCCAGGGGATGGGCCTGGGGGCTGGAGGAGGACTCAGCCAGGGAAGGGGAGGACGGCTCAGGTGCAGGAGGGCCTGGGGGAGGCAGGCTCGGGAGAGCAGGCGAGAAGCTGGGGGAGGGGGAGGTTCCACCCTCAGGGAGGCTTGTCCCTCTCTAGGGGCCTGGTGAAGGGCCTGAAGGCGCCACTGGGGGTGTGAGGGGACTTAACTAAGCAACTCTATACTGAGCCCAGAGCCCCTGGGAATCTCAATGTCCTCTGGGACCATGAGGAATCCACCTCCAAGACGTCCCCACCTCCAGGCAGTTCCTTGACCCCCTCCTGGGGCATGTGAGCCCTGAGAGTCAGGCCAGCAGCCCCTGTGTGCCTCAGCTACAGCTTCTTTGGGCCTCAGTTTCCTTACCTGTAAAATGGGGATAAGGACTGACTTGTTCCTTCCCAGGGAGGCTGGGGGCAGGAGGATGCTGCTGTGGCTCGATGTCCCCACAGGGGCCCCCAGGGCCTTAGGGCGGAGTGGGGGCTGGGGGGGCGGCAGAGTCAGGAGGCTGCAGGATCCTCTGTGGTCCTGAGCGCTGCTCCCCAGGGCTGCCTGCAGGCGGGGCCCTTACGCTCCTGGGTGCCCCCCCCACCAGGCCGCATCAACGTGAAGAACGAGGAGCTGGAGGCCATGGTGAAGGAGGCCCCCGGGCCCATCAACTTCACCGTCTTCCTGACCATGTTTGGGGAGAAGCTGAAGGGTGAGCTGGGCTGGCGCCCCGGGAGGGGCCAGGGGTGGCGTGGCCAGGCGGGGCCCTGGCGCGGACACACACAGCACAGGAGGAGCATGGTGTGGCCCCCAGACACAGCCCCTGGGCACACACACCTTCTGGGGTCCTGCCTTTGTTTCCACCTCTGCACTACAGAGTGGGGTGACTGTATAAGCCCTGCCATGTATGACCTTTGCCACCATCAGGACGGTCCCCCACCTGTCCCCACCCACTCCCCCTCCCACCTCCCTATCTGTGGGCTCAGTGCCTGCTCTGCTGATGGGGGCATGTTGAGGGGTGCGGGGGGCAGGGGGTTTCCAAAAGCTACTGTGGCCAACCCCAGTGCAAGATGGGTCCCTTACCTTGTCTGTAGTCACCGCAGCCTCCAGCAGAAGGAACAGGGAGACTCATTCACAAATGAGGAATCTCAGGCTCAGAGAGGTTGTGACACCTGCCCTAGGTGCCCCAGCACAGAGTGGCTGGGATGGAGCCTCAACCTTAAACCCCCAGCTCTAAACCACTACACCTCCTGCCACGGAGTCAGGCCTGGGGCAGGGGTGGGGGACGTCTCTGTCCCCTTTCTCTCCTGGCCCCAGGGAGTTCTCCCATAATTGTGTCCCCTGACTTCAGAAGGTGGGGGCCAGACTGGGTGGTGGCTGCCCCAGGAGGTGAGTGTTGTGGTCACCCCCCTCCCAGGCTGCCCTGCCCAGCGCCCTCCCTGGCCTGCCTGCCTTGGCCAGGTGTAGGGGTCAAGACTGACTTCCACTGCCTTGTGGGGTGACCTGGGACAGGTTTATCTGCTTTCTGGCCTCAGAATTTTTATCTGTAAAATGGGGTTTGTATTGGTTTCTCGAGGGTGCTGTGAGGAACAACCACAAACTTGGAGGCTGAAAACAACAGAAATATATTCTCTCGCGGCTCTGGACTCCGGAAGTCCAGAATCCGGCAGAGGCTCTGGGGAGAACCTGTCCTTTGCCTCTTGCAGCTTCTGGGGCGGCACCCCTGCCATGGTCTCTCCTCATGGCCATGCAGCCCCTTCTTCTCATAAGGACACGTGCGCTGGATTTAGGCCCCTCTGGGTCACCCAGGAGGACTGCCTCATCTCACGGTCCTTAACTTACACCTGTAAAATCCCTTTCTCCGAACAAGGTGACAGTCACAGGCTCTGGTGGACGTATGTTTAGGGGGCCACCATTCAACCCACTGCCGGGGTGATCCTACCTAACACCACAGATTTATTGGGTGAAAAATCAATGCTCTTGTGGGTCACGACCCCCTGGCGAGTACAGTAGCCTCCACGCACGTGTCCTGGCTGATCCCAGAGCCAGGAGAAAGCTGACCTCCACCTGGGCGTTAGAGACGAGGACACCGAGGGTGGGGAGGGCAGGCACCCCCATCTAGGGCAGGCTGAGAACTTGGGGTTGTCCAGCTGGGTCAGAGGTGCCCCTGGGCCCACCTCCAGGTAGGGGTGATTCCCAGGACTGTGACTGCTGCCTCCTAGAAAAGTCCAGAAGCCCAGATGCTGGGGCAAGGTGTGCACTATGTGAAAGCCGTGTGTCACTCCAGCCCGGCCACTTCAAAGGAAGCAGACGGACGGGCCTGCCGCTTCTATCCAGGGCAACGTAGCTGAGGGAAACTTGTGAAAGGCCAGCAGAAAGGAGAGCCTGCCGGACGGGCAGGGGCACCTAGACGCCCAGCCCAGGAGGCGAGACAGTGGGCACCTCCCGGCCCTAGCGTGGTGCGTGCTGGGCGTGGGCGAGGGGCCCTGCTGTACGAGCGGGAGTTTAGTGAGACCCTTCAGGAGTGCTCAGAGGAAGGGGAGGGGGCTCTTCAGCTCACGATGGGCCCCAAACCTGCTTTACAGATGGGGAGACTGAGGCCTAAGCTGGTGTAGGTCTGAGGCTGGGCTGGAGCTGTGACCCAGGGCCTGGTGGGGGCTGTAGAGCTGCAGCTGTTTTTCATTTTGCAGGGGCCGAGCTGGGGCTCCAGCTGAGCCTGTCATGCAAACTCGGCCAGCCTGCGTGACAGGCCAGTGGGAGGGGACGGGAGCCAGGGAGCAGGGGGCTGGGACAGGCATCGCCTTATCCCGCTAATTGGGAAGAGGAGACTTTGGCATGAGAGTCCTGACAATCATGGGGGAAGCCGCCACTCTGCAGCCCATTTTAAGAGGCTCGCAGTCCCCAGAGCAGAGGCCCTCTCTGGGGAGGAGGGAAGGGAGGACGACCGGCCCAGCCCTCCCAGCTGCCATGACAGGGAGTGGCAGGGCTGCGGTGAATGTCCGGCAGCTGGGCGCAGTCTGTGTGCGTGGTCCTGGAGCCAGCCACAAGCCTGCCCAGCAGCAATGCTCTTCAAAGATGCTGGGAAATCTCCACTAATCCATGAAACCCGGGGGACTGTGGCCTTGGGCAGAGACCCCACATCAGCCCCCATAGTGACCCTTTGACCATTCAGCCCTCACGGGCCTGAAGCCACCCCAGCCTGCTTGGCCAGGCCGGGAGGGCCAGGAGTCCTGCCCCGGCTGGACCCTGGGCCTAACCTCTGGCCTGGACACCTTGGCTCTCTGCCACCCTGCCCAGGGGAAGCCCATGGCACTGCCCTCCAGGAGCTCCCAGGCCAGCAGGGCCAGCATGTGCCAGGCTCCATCATGTGGAGCCAGTCTCAGAGACGCTGAGTGACTCGGACACCATCCCGTCCTAGGCGAGCTCCCAGTCTGATGGGGGAGACACAGACGGCTCTGACCCAGTCTGATGGGGGAGTCACACAGCCCTGCTCCAGCATCATTGGCAGGAGTACAGGCGGGAGAAGGAGCAGGGGACTCTGGAGGCCCACGGAGGTGGTTTTAAATCCTCCCTTCTCTTATCAGCGGGGCTGTGGCAAGTGCTGGAAGCTCCGTGAGCTCAGTCCCTCTGTGCTGCTGGGACAGCAGCACCTACTGCACGGCTGTTCCGGGGTTCCGTGTGATGACATGGCAACACTGCAGGCACGGAGCTTGGCACAGATGTGTTTGTGGCCCTGATCCTTTAGTGTTTGTCAAAATCTTACCAGTATCCTGTGATCAGCAAACACCACCTCTGTCCCCACTTCAACGATGACACAGCTGAGCCTTAAAGAAAGGAAGGGGGCATTCCCGGGTCCCCAGTGAGCCAGAGGGTCAGGGTGACGGAGGAGAGGAGAAAGAGCGCCGGGTGAGGGCTGCCAGGTCACCCGCTGGCCTTAACGCTGCCTGGGAAGCCTTGGGGAAGCCCCTTCCTCTCTCTGGCCTCAGTTTCCTCATCGGTAAAATGAGGGGCTGGGGACTCAATCTACTGTGGGTAGCAGAATTACTTCTTCCAGTGACATCTTTCCCCAGAGCTGTGACAGTGGTAAAAGCAGAAGTGCTCTGGCTGCCCCCGGTGCAGAGCTCTCTTCCTTCCACCCACAGCCTCTGTGCACAGCTTGGGTAATGAGCAAGCCCCGGAGTTGCCACCCCCTGGACCTCACCCATCATGTGGCAGCATCAGCTGTGAGACCTTGGACAAGTCACTTAACCTCTCTGAGCCTCAGTTTCTTCATCTGTGAAATAGGGACAATTGTCAGGAGGGCTAAGCACATAGTAAAGGCTCAGCTAGGGTCTCCATGGACCGTTGTGCAGGTTGTTCACAATGATATGTGTGCAGCACCCTCATCTGTTGAGACTATTTGTTGTTTTGTTGAAACCTCCTTGCTCTTGCTTCAAATGGGTTCAGCCTCCCCTGGGGAGTAGAAGTCGGGGAGGAAGCCCTGCATAGCTGTCCCCCTCAGGGAGGGATGGGACCTGCCCTGGCCCCCAAGCCCTGCCCTGCTGGGCTCCTGTCTCTGTGGGGCCCTCTCCACCATCCTTCTCCTGCCCTGTGTGTGCTGCTTCTAGGCACGGACCCAGAGGAGACCATCCTCCACGCCTTCAAGGTGTTCGACACGGAAGGGAAAGGCTTCATCAAGGCTGATTTGTAAGCGCCCCTGCTCTCCTCGGTTCTATCTCCCCAGAGGCTCAGGCAATGAGCCAGCGGGGCTGGGGTCAGGGTAGGTGGCCACCCAGGGCCTCCTCCAGCCTGGAACTCAGCCGAGCTTGGGCACATCTGGCCAGGAGCCAGGAGGCTGCTGCCCAGCCCCGCAGCTGTGGCTTGATGTCCCTTCCCCTCTCTGGGCCCGGGTGTCCCCGTCTCTATGTGTGTGGAAGTGGATGGGGGGTGGGTCACTCAGGGAGAGCTTGCCAGGGAGGGGGAGGTGGGGAGAAGGTGAGCCTTGAAGGACGGCTGCGGGCTGCCTAGGCCAGGGGCGGGAACAGCATTGTAGATGAGGGAACAGAGGAAGTGAAGGTCCAGGGCTTGGGGAGGAGGAGTTGGCAGTGGCTGGAGGCTTGGAGGGGAGGAGTGGGACAGACTGAGCACACCAGCCTGGCAGCCTGGGTCTGCCTGTGAGCAGGGGAGAGGCCGGGAAGGATGGAGGCAGGGACATCGCAGGGGCCAGCCTGCAGGAGGGGAGGAGAGGGCTGCAGCTCCAGGAGGGCCACGGGTGCAGGGCTGGAAAGGGACAGACAGACAAGAGACAGAGGCCAGTGACCACAGGGTCCAGGGTCTGGGGACAGGACTGAGCCAGACGTCAGCCCGAGCCTGAGTGGACGCCCAGACGGAGGCGGGGCCACCGCCTCGGGCAAGGGGTTGGCGAGGGCTGGGGAAGGTGACCAGCTTAGCCTGGGATGCATGAGGGGGAGGTGGCCATGGGCAACTGTCCGGCGGTGGAGGTGGGGGCACTGCTGTGGGTGTCCCCCACCCAGTGAGAGCACAGGAGCAAAGGGCCCAGGGTGGCAGGCAGGGCAGGTGGTGGGATGGCAGCCTGCCGGGCGCCCCAGACGCTGCACCTGTGGGTGGCCCTGGGTGGTGAGATTTCCTCTCAGGGCACAGGCTTCCTGACCAGTTGCTATGATGCTTCGGACCTCCAGGTTTGAGCCAGTTTGCTGCCTGTTAGATCCTCACACGTGGAGGTGGAGTGGAAGGGGCCGGCAGGGCAGGGGTGGGGTGGGCAGGGTCTGGCCAGCTCACATGTTCTCAACTCCAAGTCACACACGCCCCTGGGGTGGGACAGATTGCTAAGGGCTTCTCCCTGCTGCATCGTCCCCTTCTCCACCCCTCCATCTTGGGGACCCGGGGAGGCACCAGGTCACCCCCTAGAGTGACCTCAGCCAATCCCTCCACTGTCACCCACCTTCGTGCCCATTGGCATGAGGACACGGCTGGGAAGAACCCTTGGGGGACCCAATTTGGGAACTGAAGGCATCGCCCCGGGACATGGGACCTGGAAGATGTGGCCGCAGGCCAGACAGGCCACGGCGGAGGCTCTGGTTGAAACGGAGTCTGTGAAAAGTCCCCAGCCTGGAGAACTGGAAACTGTGACGGTCCTGCGGTAACATAAATAATGGAAAATGTGCGTCGGTCCTTAGTGGGGCCTGCTGCTGCCGGCGCCGGAGGACACTCTGGGTGCACAGGGCCCAGCTCGGCCCTGCCCACGGAGTCCCCTTAAGCTCTGCGGGGTTCTCTGGGCTCGAGGGGGCATCAGCCATTCAAAGAGCCAAGAGGACACACCTGGGCAGGCCTTCTCGTGCCCTTGGCCAAGCACAGGCATTTGTAGTCTGTAAAATGTACGGATGTCAGTGAAAATCACAAGCTGAAAAAAGCAGTGTGCCCAGAACAAGGCACAGGAGGCCCCCGGGTGGGGTTTGGGGGGTGGCTGTCTCCCCTCTGTGACCTGGAGGGCGATTGTTAGTGTACGGTGGGAAATTCTGTTTGGTCTCCACCTGGTGCTAGGAGGAGAGCCCTAGTGGGAAAAGAGCCAGCATTACAGGCAGGGAAGCCAAGGCTCAGAGAGTGGCCTGAGGCCACGTGGCTGTCAGAGAGGCAGGTAGGGCCAGCCCCAGGTTGGTGTCCTCCCAGGCCAGGACGCCCCTGCCCCGTCTGTGATCTGCAGGTCTAAGCAGGGAAGCCCTTCCCCCTGAACCTGACCCTTTCTCTCCCTCGAGCAGCATCAAAGAGAAGCTCATGACCCAGGCAGACCGGTTCAGTGAGGAGGAGGTAAATTGGGGCTTTCAGGGCACAGCCCATTCCCCGCTCTGGCCACCCACCCCCCGCCACTGCTCTGACTCTCTGCTCCCTTCCCAGATCAAGCAGATGTTCGCGGCTTTCCCCCCAGATGTGTGTGGCAACCTGGACTACAGGAACCTGTGCTACGTCATCACGCACGGTGAAGAGAAAGACTAGGGACCGGGAGTCTCCCCACATTCAGAGGCGGCAAATGCTGGGGGGACCGGGGGAGGGGAGCTCCTGCAGCCAGAGGGTGTAGGGAAAAGGTACCCCCTTGTCCTACGGTCAGGGACGAAGCAAGAATAAATAATGCTAACAAGGTCTGAGTTTGTGTGATTAATTCTCCGGTTGGGGAGAAAGCTAAACATTCCTATCTTTTTGGTTTTTCCAAAACTTTTCGCTTCCCTGGCTTTGCTCACATGTTCCTGATGAGCTGGTGTTTAGAACTAATTGACAGTTTTAATGCTCCCCAGCTGGGCCACAGTCGCCTTCATTTATGTGGCTTTCCTTGGACACCTAGTGCGTGCCAGACCTGGTGCCAGTCCCGGGGACTCCGAGAGGAGCCAGACCTGTCCCCAGGCAGGACGATCGTGCTGACTGAGGTGTATGAGAGGGTCAGAGAGGACAAATGGTGGGGAGAGGACATCCGTGGGGGCAGCAGGGGGTAGAACCAGAGAAATCTGGCAACAGCACCCTGGCCAGAGGCTAAGATGCACGGGATGTTTAAGGGGTAAGCAAAGACGTCTTAAACCGGACACATATAGCTCCGACCATCAAATAAAAAGTACATAAATTGGCCTTCATCAAAATGAAAATCTTCTGTTCACCAGAAGATGCAATTAAGAATGTGAAAAGACAAGGCGTGGAATGAGAGGAGTTATTGGCAACACATAGATCACGACAAAGATCTCACATCCAGAATATATATTTTTAACAAATCCTACATATCAATACTGGAAAGATAACAACCAAAAAATAAATAAATAAAAAAGTAGATAATAAGAAAGAATATCTAAATAGCCAATAAAGATCTGAAAAGATGCTGGACCTCATTCCTCATAAGGAAAATGCAAATTAAGTGACAATACGGTTCTCACTACCCACTAGAATGGCTAAAATAACCAAGACTGCCAGTACCAAGTGTCGACGAGGCTGTGGAGCACCCAGAACTCTTCTTGGACCTTGGTATAAAGTGGGTCAATCACTTTTGAAATCTGTTTGGCAATATCTACTAAAGTTAAATAAATGCATATTTTGCCCCAGCGATGCTACTCCTAGGGATATACCACCAGAAATGTCCATCACATAGCCATCAAAAGACACATGCAGGAATTTACAGGCTGGGGATGGTGGCTCACGCCTGTAATCCTAACGCTTTGGGAGGTTGAGGCTGGAGGATCGCTTGAGCTCAGGAGTTTGAGACCAGCCTGAGCAAGAGCGAGACCCCATTTCCACAAAAAATAGAAAAATTAGCCGGATGTGGTGGCGCACACCCGTAGTCCCGGCTACTCGAGAGGCTGAGGCAGGAGGATCACTTGAGCACAGGAGTTTGAGGTTGCTGTGAGCTATGATGACACCACAGCACTCTAGCCTGGGCAACACAGCAAGACTATATCTCAAAAAAAAAAAAAAAGACTGAAAAAGATTTATATTAGTCTCAAATTGGAAACAACACGAATGTCCATCAAGAGCAGAATTGATAAATAAATGATAGTATATTCATATGTGGGAATGCTACACAGCAGTAAGAATAAACTTCTGGTGCACACAACATGAATGCTGTTCATGTATATTACGTTGCTTGGAAAAAGACAGACCAAAGAGGGCATACTTTTAAAAAAAACCTATTTTATTGAGACGTAAGTCATATACCATACAATTCACCATTGTAAAGTGGCTTTTAGCATATTCACAAGGTTGTGCAACCATCGCCACTATTGGTATCCAGAACATTTCATCGCCACAAAAAGAAATTCGTTAATCACTTTCCATTCTTCCTGCACCAGCCCCTTGGCAGCCGTGATTCTACTTTGTGTCTCTGTGGAGTTGCCTAATCTGGACATTCATACAAAAGGAATCCTACAGTATGTGGCCTTTGTGTCTGGCCTCTTTCACCCAGAATAATGTTTTCATGGTTCCTCTTTGTCGTTCTTCATTCCTTTATGAAGCCAGATAATGTTCCGTTTTATAGATATACCACATTTTGTTTATCCATCCATCAGTGGAAGTACATTTGGATGTTTCTACTTATTGTAATAGCTATTATGAATAATCTACTATAAACCTTCATGGACGACTTTTTGTGTGAACATATGTTTTCAGTTAGTTCTCTTAGGCATCTATCTAGGAGTGGAATTGCTCATTTAGTAACTCGATGTTTAACTTTTTGAGCAACTGCCAAATTGCTTTTCAAAGAGGTTGTATCATTTTACATTCCCACCAGCAATGTAGAAGGGGTTCCAATTTCTCCACATCCTTGCCAACACTTGTTAATTTCTATTTAAAAAAAAAATTATAGCTACCCTAGTGGGTATGAAGCAGTATCTCATTTTGGTTTTGATTTGTATTTCCCTAGTGATTAATGATACTGAGTATCTTATCATGTTTTTATTGGCTGTTTGTATGTCTTCTTGGGAGAAGTATCTATTCAGTTTCTTTGCCCATCTTTAAATTGGGCTATATGTCTTTTCATTGTTGCGTTGTAGAAGTTCTTTAAATAGTCTGGATCCTTTTTAGATATGTGATTTGCAAATATTTTCTCCCATTCTGTGGGTTGAGTTGCCACTCTCTTGATGGATTCCCTTTCGTGTACAAGTCTTAAATTTTGATGAAGTCCATTTTATTTATTTTGCTTGTGCTTTGGACATTATATCTAAGAAACTGTTGCCTAATCCAAGGTCTTTAAGATTTACACCTATGTTTTCTACCAAGAGTTTTATAGTTTCAGCTTTCAGACTTTGAATCGTCTTGTTATTTTTTTGTGTACTGCTCTATGGCGTGAGGTAGGGGTCCAACGTCATTCTTTTGCATGTGGACGTCCAGTTCTCCCAGCACCATTTGCTGATAAAACTATTTTTTCCCCATTGAATGGACTTGGCACCCCTGTCAAAAATCAGTTGATCATGGATGTGTGAGTTTATTTCTAGACTCTTGTTTCTAATCCATTGATCTCTGTGTCAAAGAGGGCATACTGTTTAATTCCATTTAGGTGGAGTTCAAAACCAGGCAAAACTAATTTATTGCGTTAGGAGGCAGAATGGTGTTTACCTCATGGGGAAGGGCCATGAAGGGACATTTTGGGGCATGGTCAATGCTCTATGTCTCAGTCAGGGTGGTGGGTGAAAGAACATCAAGCTATACCATTAAGATCTGTCCACTTTATGCATTTTATTATATTTGTTATAGCCCAACAGAAAGAGAGGAAGGAAAAAGAGAGAGAGAAGGGGAAGAAAGAAAAGATGACATGTTCAGGAGGCAGGGTGCAGAGCCCTTGGGGACCGAGGGGGTGTGGGGAAGAGCTACGGGGTCTCACAGGACGTGGCTTTGGTGGCTGTGGGCACTGCACCCCATGACGGAGAGCCCTGGGGGAGAAGCGGCTGTAGAGAGAGAGGCTGGCTCAGCGTGGGGGCTGTTGAGCACGAAGTGGAGAAGTCTGGGAGAGGCCGGAGGCTACGTCTGCAGTGCCCAGAGGCAGCAGCCTCATGAGACAGGGAGTTGGGGACCTGAGTAAGCCTGTGTGGGAAGAGCAGGTGGTGGAGAGGAGAGGCCGTGAGCCAGCCTCGAGCGCTCAGGGCAGGAGGACCCACAGAGACTGGTGGTTGGGGCCAGGCTGGAGATGGGCACTTCTGGCCAGAGAATCTGCTGCAGTTGAGGACCAGGTGGAGAAATGTCGATTACAATTACGTGGGCTCAGAAGTGCCAGCCCCCAGACTGATGTCCGCACGCGCACGTATTCATCTCACCCCTATGAGGACAGTGAAGGAAACCGAGGCACAGAGCTTGCCCAGGGTCAATGACAGGGCTGGAAGGGGAACCTGTACCCGTAAGCTCCACCCCATGCTGCCTCCCAACAAGGTCAGGGTGTGACCTTGGGATAGGGTAGCTGAAGTGGGGGGAAGAGGTCCTTGGAGCTAAGGAGGGCAATGGGGGTAGAATTCGGACCCTGAGAAGCTCAGAGACAGGAGGTCCAGGGCGGTGACATGTGGGACCCTGCAGAGGGGCGGCCCTGGCTCAGATGGTAGCAGTTTGACTGCAGGGGCCGTGCTCCTAGACACTTGGCCATGGTTAAAGCCGTCCCCTCCACTTCGCCCTCCTCCTGAGCCCCTGCTGCCTCCACGGGAGGTGGGAGAGAGAGGCGCCCCCACCAGTCTGGAGCGTCTCGCTCAGGGCACAGGGAGAGGCACGTGGCAGAGGAGGGGGACTGTTCGAAAGCCTCACTCCGGCTTGCTCTCTAAGAGTTTGGCTTTCCTGGAAATCACAGACCGAGCCCTGTCTCAGCAGCTCAGGAACCCGTCGGACCTGTTTGTGTCCCGCAGAACCAGGCCAGAGCCAAGGCCAGAGGGAGTGGGCACCGTTGTGCACCTGCTGCCAGCCACTCCGCGACAGCCAGGCCTGCCGACCTGCAGGGGCCCTGCCACCCAGGACACAGGGGCGGCCAGTGGAGAGGGCCGGGGGCTCCATGCCCGCTCAGAGAGGAGGCTGGGGACATTCATCTCATGTATTCCTCTGTCCTCAATTCATCCATTCCTCTGCCCCATCTCTGTCCCCAAGGGCTTCTGGCTGGCAGCTGTGGCGGGGTTGGGGGAGGTGGGGGGAGGACACCGGAGTGACGCAGCTCCAGTGGGAGCCCAGGGAAAAGCGAGGCTGTGGGCTCTCGGGCAGTGCGCACCAGCTGGGAGGCCGCTGGGGCTCCGAGGCCCTGGCCTCAGTCTCTCTCGGAGAGGCTAACACCAGGCCCCTCTGCCTGAACTGTGGTTCTCTGGTGGTCTGGCTGCTCCTGACCTGAGCCCATCACCGGCTGCCTTCAGTCTCTGTGATTCCCCAGCCCGTCCTCCAGGCCTCCAGGCCTGGCTCTGTGTGACCCCAGGGAGGTTTCCCCAAACCCCACTCTGGCCCCTGCACTGGGGTGGTCCCCAGAGCTGATCTTCCAGGGAGGGGGGCTGAGGCTCCTGAGAGCC